CTGCCAGTTGTTGTGTGGCACAGTTCTTTTTAGCCCATTCCTAAATATGTTTTCACAGAGGCGTTCCTCTCCTATCACTTTACTGACAGGCTCAGTCCCTCTTTGGAGCTGGCTGGCATTGGCTCTAACAAACTCGGGAAGCTTCTAGCAGCTTCTTGCAGAAGCCCCCCTGCAGCTCCACCCCCGCCAAAATCCAGCCAGGCCAACTCAATACACTGGGATACCTATTTTGGTAGAAAAATCCTTAACTAGTTCTCAGTTAACACCATTAGAGCTTGCTGGAAAGTAAAGGTCAAGAATTAAAAACAAAACATACGTTTTGACCTAAAAAGCCTTATTGGCAATGCATTAAGTCTATTGGTAGGTCTTCTTGAAAGACCAAACACATTTTTGTTTTGAGTAATTACCAGTACTTGTACAGTCTTTCTCTTACACTGTACTCTTGGCATTCTCTATATAATCTAAGCAGTTTAATAAAAAAATACTGGGAGAAAACTAGGATACCAATGTAAGTGTGTGAAAATGCAGTGACTGCCCCAATGATTTCCCAGTTAGAAAAGCTGTGGAAACACTGTAGTTGATTTCATATGCTTGCAATGATATGATACGTGAATGATGACTTTAGTTAAAGTTTAGTTAAAAATCACTGTTAAAGCAGAAGAGAAACCAGTCCTGTGTATGGAGAACTGGCTATATGACTATTGTATTATAAACCAATTGGAGTCTCAAGTAGCGTTTGAAGAGCCAAAAGCAGTGGAGAGGGCTCTCCATGGCCAGGCTGAATTTATTCTGTCTTAAAGTTGACGATTGCTATTTAGCCTAGGAAGAACTGAATATTTTGCATGAGTTACCCCTCTTGTATTTGCTTCATTTTTGTACCCGCTTTTTGTTAGTATTTGACATTATCTAGCATCGGATGCATTTAATTGATTAGGTGTTCTGATTTTTCTGCTAACCTTGTAATCTTCCCAATATTAATGCATGTTTTATTCCTTTGTTTTCTTACTTGCCTAATTAAAAATTGACCCTTCATGGAAAAGGGGATGTTTTATGTTTTGGTGTATTACTGAGTGTAGGAGCTCCTGGTTTGTATGTACCCAATGACAATCTGGTATTTTGATTCATATAGTTTACTCTCCGGGTTTGTATCTGACTTTATTAAAGCATGTTTACCACAAAAGACAGGTGTCAGGATTTCCCTTTTTTGTTTGTTTGTTTGGTTGGTTTTTTTCGTTGTTGTTGTTTTTGTTTTCTTTTTTTTCTGTTTACTTGTATGGAGATATCCATGGGGTTTTGAGCTGTAGAAGATTAATTTCAAAAATGAAGCACAAGGGGGAGCTAGTAATTCATTGTGTATGCATCCTTACTTTCTTGCTATTTGACTCATAGTATGTTTCTTTTCCAGTAACATCAGAAGGTGCATTTGAACTGATGTATGGGATGTATGTGTGGGCCCTGAAACAATTGGTGTGTTTTCTGGTTATTTTGATCTAGAAGTCTGCAGCAACTGAAGTGATTACTAAATTCTAGTGCTGCTTGCCGTAGCATGCAATTAATTAGACTCTTAAGTAAAATTATGATGAAAGTGACTCTAATCTTATTTCCCGTATTGATTATTTGAAGGCATCTTAAAATAGATGAAGGAATATTAGTGTAAGAAAATGTAGTTTAGCTTGTAGGCTAATGATTTCAGAGACCAGTTATTCATAATAGAGGTATAACTTGTTAGTGGAAGATTGAGGAAATTTCCAAAGTTTCCATAAGCAATCCTTAGCTGGTGAAAAATATCTCTGAAGAATACTCAGTGCCAGCTGATTTCACTTAGATTGAAAAATATTCGATGTACATTGTGAATATAGATCCATGAGTTCATTCGGTGTGTGCTGTTGTCACTATATAGTGGATAAATGTTTAAAGATAATAATTTCAATTGTAAATCAAGTGCTATAGGAGAATATAAAACTTCTGTGTTGTCAGTGTGTGCTCATATATAGTATTACTGAATACACATATCTTTGGGGGCCCTTTTTGAGTTGCTTTTGGATGTCAGAGTCAGAGTATGTAAATTTGTGTCCAAACTTGGGGATATATATCAGGTTGTTTTTTTTTTTCTTTCAAAAACAGTGCCAAACTATTAGCTTTTGTAACTAAAACCTTTGGATAAAGGTTGTGTTTACACTTTATTTCCAGTCTTCTTCCTGCAGGTAATATCAAACAGCACTGTCCTTGTAGCCATATTCTCCTACGGATACAAGAAAAGGTGCTTGTATCTCTTTAAGACTGGAGTCTGTCAGCACTCACCACAAGCACATGGTGATTGGCATTCAGCAGCTTCGGGAGTGCAAGTACAGTCCTCTTTTTGCTATCTGGCCTAACTGGTGGCTGGAATGCCATTATTGTACTGAAAGTGGCTAACAGGACATACTAAGGGATCAGTCACAGAAGTACCCAGAGAAGGGTAACAGAGAGACCATATCCAACAGAGACCTATGGCTTCTTGCATTTTTCTGCTTTGTGCACTTAGATTCCAGGTTCAGGGAGGGGCTGTTTGCCTGGATACAGATTGCAGGGCTTTTCTAAATTTATGCGGTGATGTGCCTGACAGGATCAGCAGTTGTGACATTAAGACAGCTGCTTTTTTCCTTGGTCCATCCTGAATTCAGCAGGTCTAAACCAGGGGAAAGGTCCTGTACTGTTGCTGGCAGCTGTAATGCTGACAAACTTGCATGATGCTGGCAGTTTGTGTTGCATATGTGTCTCTGTGTGACAGAGTAGTTAAAAGTAGTCTAGTTAACTGGGAGATGCCTGTAATGTACTAATTGTTAATAATGAAAAAAACTAGCTGAATTTTACTTAATAATTGGGTTCTAATGAATAACGAAGGAACACTTTAATCACAGCTGAGAACATGATAGCGTAGATGGTGTTACTGTTTCTTCAAGATACAACTATTGTTTCAAACTGTAAATTCTAGCAGAGTTATAATGTAAACTGACCTGTGTGTGCAATTTTGCCCTCTACTAATTACATACTATTGACTTAATAAAGTCATTTCTATAGATGCTTTTAATGCCTTAAAATCTGCCCGGTGTTTATTGTCTTTATTTGTTTTTGTAAAACCCCATACCTAATGGAACTATTGAGTTTCTTTTAAAGCTTGATCTCTGGCTTTTTTTTCCTCTTTGCAGGTATTTGTGGAAACACTAGACAAATGTTTTGAAAATGTCTGTGAACTGGATTTAATTTTCCATGTAGACAAGGTACTGTGATGAGATCCTGTGATATTTCTTGTCAGGTAAAATGTTTGATTTAATTGATACTGGATATTAAACTCTGCAGTGATTCTACTTTATTGATGAATTCTAGACAGTTTCTATTGACGTATTATTTTTAAGACTTTAAAACTGTGGTGAAGTATCTTTTTGAGGAAAAATAATGTAGGATGTTTGCATAGTGTTATTGCACATATAATTGTCAAATTGAAGACATCTAAATATTCTCAGAGTGGAACTTAATTTCAAGAAATAATTTGTTCTGGTTTGTTTGTGGTTAGGTGTTACATTACTCAGAACTGAAATTGTCATGGAGTTTTCCGGTTAAGGCTGACAGTTGCCTTTCAAATGCCGTGATTATATAATTTAAGTGCTGTGTGGATCTTCCTTTTGTAAATCTCAGAGACTTGTCTTTTTTCAAACATTTAGAAATAGTTTAATTTTAGAGGACATTGGCACCTCCTGGTGTAATACCTAAAATGTTGAGAATCACATATGCAAATTTTATTCCTTCAGTTGCGTTGTGTGCCACTCTTTTCTGTGCACTCACCTTTCCCCCTCTGAGATAGCCATTTGGAACTGACTGTTTTCCAGATCAGGAAGTTATTTTGAAAGAAACATGTACCTTGACTGGACAGTGAAATTCAAATGACCTTGAGTAGATGTTTGAACTGATACTGTGCTCATGATGAGTCATTAGGGTTTCCACCTTGGTTGGAACGCATTGACTATTTCCAGAATGGCAGATTAAAGTGCAAAAGAATTTGAGTGATTTATATATCATCTTCTGAGCTTAAAGAACCCAAATACTGCAGTTGTTTTGTGGCTAGGAGTTTGATCTTTAGCTCTAGAATACTTTGGCTGCTATGCAGTCCAAGCTGGTGCTCTGTAGTGTGTTTCATTCAGTAGTGTTCCTTAATTTAGGTAATATTTTACACTTTGTAGGAGAAGCATCTTTCTAAATAAAGTGTAGAAAACTTAGGTGCTTAAATATATTAAATTGCTTGATGAATCTTTTACTTTGTATCTAATATGAGATGATACTGTCTTCTCGAAAGTAATTTGTTGAATGAAACACTTAAATTTTAAGTGTTTAATTTGGTGTACTATAAAAACTGTGTGAGAATCCCATTACATATTTAGGCTAGAATTTTCAAACTCTAAGGAAAGCGCGAACTCTAAATACTAATTAGATATTTTAGCGAAAATAATGCATTTCCAAAATAAAGTATCACTGAAACCTTGAGTTAAAGTTTTGAACATGGCATTAACCGATGTAATGAATTTTAAATTGAGCTTAAGTCAACAAAAGAATACAATACAGAAAGCTGAACTTATGCAGTAATGCAAAGCGGCTACCAGCAGTACAGTAGCATTAGTTTTGTAATTGTGACTAATCTGGTATCATCTCCATTCTTTTTTTTCTTCTCCAGTGTAATAGTTTTTTAAGACTTTATACTACAACATAGGATCAGAGCATTTGAATCAATGCAGTTTAATTTCATCAGTACTCTTGTAAATCTGTAAGATGAAGTATCTGTGAGAAAATGTATCTGTGAGAATGAAATTACAGCATTAAATTCTTCCTAAACTGCTGCTGAAGTCACCATCTCCAGAAGCAAAATACATGGAGGCTTCTGAATTATAACACATCAACTTTCTCTTGTTAGATATTTACGGACTGGCTTGTTTATATAGATTTCAAGTATGCACTAGGCAACGACAATTGCTACTGGATGTTTCTTCTAGACAGTCTCAGTTATAGTTGGTGAGTTATAGTATAGAGCTGTTGGTGAAACACTTCAAATATTTGTGTTTTCAGTTGTCTGGTGTTGAAAAAAGTTTGGATTGACTAACTGATTTGGATGAGAGTTCATCCCTGTCTTCAGTTCTTGATGGAGTTGTAGAAGGTGACTTTCTTCCAATCCTATTTCTAGAACTGCCTAAAACCAAAAAAATACCTTTCTTGTAAAAAATGATGTAGCATGTAAGAGAGTTAAATTATGTGATTTTAGCAGTGTTGCCTGTTTAGTAGTATTTTATCTGGCATTTCTACAAGGAAAATTTACCTTAATCAAGCAGCCATCATTATACAGGACCTAGTGCTCACTCAAGAAGAGTATGCCCAATCTAAACCCGATCCATCTCTAGCTTCAATCCATTCCCCCTAGTCCTATCACTACTCAACATCCTAAAAAGCCCCTCACCAGCTTTCTTGTAGGCCCCCTCGAGATACTGGAAGGCCACAATAAGGTCTCCTCAGAGCCTTGTTTTCTGCAGACTAAACAACCCTAACTCTCTCAGTCTGTCTTCACAGGAGAGGTGCTCCAGCCCTCTGAGCATCCTCGTGGCCCTTCTCTGGACACGTTCCAGCACGTCCAGATCTTTCTTGTAGCAGGTGCTCCAGAACTGGACAAAGTACTCCAGGTGGGGTCTCACAAGTGTGGAATATAGAGGACTAGAATCACCTCCCTCGACCTGCTGGCCACGCACCTCTTGATGCAGCCCAGGACACAACTGGCTTTCTGGGCTGCAAGTGCACACTGATGGCTCATGTTGAGCTTCTTGTCCACCAGTACCCCCAAGTCCTTTTCTTCAGGGCTGCTCTCAAGCCAGTC